ATAAATCATACAAATCATATAAATCATACAAATCATACAAATCATATAAATCATACAAATCATATAAATCATACAAATCAAATAAATCATACTAATCATATAAATCATACAAATCATCCAAATCATATAAATCATACAAATCATACAATCTATCTGTGACATGGGTCAAACAGCACAGAGTATAGGCCAGGCTGCGAGCTAGCCTGTTGATTATTGTTTTGCAGGCTGATAAATCACTCCTTTGTTAGAAACAAATCTCTGGTGTAAAAGAACTCTTTCTTAACTAATACAAAGTAAAGTAAATCCAAACACTTTTTGCTAGACCAGTTGTACAGTTTGTTGCTGTTTTCTTAACCAAACCTTTGGGTTATGATGTTGTGTGCAGAGCACTGACGTCACAAGCATTTGTAATGTGTGTGTGTGTGTGTGTGTTTTGGTGGTGGTGGGGGGGGGGGGGGGGGGGGAGGGGTCCAAATGAATAGTTCTTATATGTGAGGGGGACACGTCCCCTTCACATATAATTGATGTGACGCCTAGTGTAGACTATAGATACCCCATGGATTTGCTAACGTTGCTGAGGCTGTGGAACATATCAGTCCATCTGATCAGCAGATCTAGTCAGTCCAGAGGTTCACTCAGCTCCTTGTGGACTTATATATTCAGCATCTTTAACACATACACACGTTCTCTCTGCTCCACAATCATAAACAAATAGTTGTTCGGTTAAGAAATCTGTAACAAACTAAACAAACAGTGTCACGCAGAACCATGGTCCCTGTGAGGTTTCATTAAGAATAGCTAACGCCGTGTTCTTTCACAGCTACGTATTGTGTCTGAAAAACAAAAGTTATTTTATAAACCTGATTATTATGTTTTTAACTAGTAATTGCCAGTTAGCTACTAGCCTAGCCTGGATAAAAACCTTTGCCCTTTTCTCCCATTTAAGTTCTCTAAGACTGACATCACAGAGGACAAAATAATAACTATTTGGTAGAACATCGCTTTAAAGTCTACTGGACTATCCTCGAAAACTTTGATTGTATGTTTAAAAAGTTAAAACAGAGAAAAATGTATATGTATCAAAACATTACATTAAAATGAGATCATATAAAACAAGTCTTGGGAGAAACTTTATCCAATCCTAGAATGTTGTGGACATTCTTGCCACGCAGTAGCACGGCACAGGTCCCCCGGTGTTTATGTTGTGTAATGAAAAAAACAAACAGAAAATAATTATTCCAGTTTGAAATTTTTCAATTAATATTAACCACATTGCAGAGACCTGGAAAAACTATATACCTTCAGGAGCTTTTACACAGTGTCTACAGGGGTGACTGTGGCTGAGTGGTTAGAGCAGTCGTCCTCCAATGCAAGAGCCGGGGGTTCGATTCCACCAGCGGTCACATGCTGAATTGTCCATGGGCAAGACACTGAACCCCTCGTTGCCTCAGATGTGTGTCCATCAGTGTCTGGATGTGATGAAGCTCTGATTCGTCTCTACAGAGTCACATTAGCTGTGCAGAGCTCTAGCAGAGTGCTGTATGAATGGGTAAACACAGAATGTGCTGGGAAGAGCTTTGACTATCTTGATACGCTATAAAAGTGTAGACCATTTACAAGTGTCTTTTGTTCCGTCTGCAGTTGTACCAAAAACGTCCCGGTTAGCAGCTCATTGAAATATTGGCTACCAAAAAACAGCATTTACTGAATGTGTGGCATGTTTGTTTTTATAAAATAAATAAGTAAAACAGAACACGTCACATTAAGTGTCCCTCTGTCAGTAACAGAAAAGAAGAACATTATGCAGAACACTTAATTGAAAAATCATGCAAACTGTGATACAAGCACCAGATTTGGTCTTTCCTTGAGGTATCTGTCAAATCTGCATGACTGGCAGATTTTAAAATCCAAGATGGTGGCCTTTTTAAAAGATAGCTGCCAACATGAACTTATTTCTGCTCTGTGATCATACAGTAATTCAGTTACTTGATCAATTTAGATGATCGTTGTGTCACTTCATGTATTTCCTTCTGTCAGTAGCCCTGTACTCAGCAAGTAACACATCGTAAAATAATACCAAAATAATTACTAGAACTAGTGCATCAGTTTGTGATGGCCCATCAGGTATGACTGTTCCAAAGACTCCATGGTACCAGCTCACATTTGGTGCTTGCATCACACTTTGCACATGGGGAGGGGGAGGTTCTTCTTTAGTGATTAAATGTATACATTATTGATGTCCAACACAAACTAACAACTATATATAGTGTTTGATTTGTCATTTTGTTTCCTCATTTACCATTTCTGTGATTCAAGCAAAATCAGTACTTAATAAAGAGCTACAGTAGTCGTGTGTGACAGCATGAAATTAATGCAACATAAATAAACTGGCAGTAGAAATAAAAATGTATAAAAGCTTGTAAAACCAAATGACTCATCATTACTCAGCTTCTGTGTATCAAACAAAATGTCTAACTTGTTCTAATCAACAACAAATGCTGCATTTAATCCTCTTATGACCATAATTATAAATGGGCCGTCTGGTATTTTTATTTTATTTTATAGCTGCAAAACTGTCAAAAAATGTGTACTGCATCTGTATTTTTGCTCCTTTTTCCAGAACAACCTCAGCTTTCAGTGTCTGGTAGTTATTTAACATTTCAGTCTATTAAATACTGTGAACCAACAGTTTAAATAGAAAAAATAAAACTCGGAATTGAAATGTTCAAGTTTATTACTGGACAGGAACTTCAAAATGACAGGGGCAAACATTTCAACTGAACAGTTTAAACACTGAACTATGTATCTTACATAAATGCAGAAAAGAAAACGTAATGTCTGGTCTTTAATTTACCAGTTTGTTATATATATATATTTTATTTCAGGCTTTTTATCAGGTGTGGTAGACCCTAAAGCAGTTCCTCTCCAGCTGCAGACAGACAAAAAAAGATGAAAATAACATTTTAAAGCAAATAATTTCATTTCTCATAATAAAAAAAAATCTGCAATGATTTAACATTTTATTTCAGCATAATAAATATTTATTGTGCAAATATAAATTATGTTGGAGCGAAGATGACGCTACCATTTATGCAACAGTTGTGTAGCATGTAAACCGTTAGCTTGTACAAACACTTCCCGGTGGTTCACTGATGAGGGGTCCCTCCTCGTGTCACCATCTTCACACGTGGATCTTGTGGGACACTTGATCAGTCTGGTGGATTTTCTTCAGTGTATTTCCATAATTTTATCCACATTTCAAACTCTTCTCTCCATCATCTCTCCGTCGCTCTGCTTGGAATCAGTTTGTTTCCTCCACAGAGACGTCACACAAACACCAGTAAGAAATTGTTGCAGATGTCATGTGACCAGTAACTCTTCCTTTCACTTGACCTGTTTTGTAATGTAAGGGTTCATGATGAAAATGACATAAACATGTTGTAATGCAGCCTTTATGGCCAGACTGTGTCGTCTGGGATCTAGTATTTCCTCTGGCACTCACTCAGTCCCCCCCCCCCCCCCCGTCTGTTTGCAGATGTAAAGCTTCTGGAGAA